TCTTAAAGTACAACAGTACAGGGATGATGGGGGAAATATTAGAACATCACGTTTGATGGAATGCAAATAAAAATGGTGCCAAAATTCAGAAGAGGGAAAAGTACTTTCGATAGAAGAGAGAAGAGCACAACCAAATGCGTACTCACGCCGTGAGGAAGCTCGATAAGGGTTAGCTGTGCATTGAACAAAGACTGGAAGGCAATAAAAGAATGAAAACAAGTTGATACATCAGGATAGATGGGATGTAGATTTCTTTCATTGCTGTCATTTTGTTCGATACTGAAAAATTTTAGACAGCCTTCTAACTTAATGTGCTTAAGGATTTTTGAGTTTGATAATGAATTAATTGGCAATTGAGATATGTGATGTGAGGCCTGCTTTTGCTCCTAACAGGTAGGTGTTTCCAAAACATTTGGTTGAGTTGCCTGTTCTTTCCCCCACTGGCTAGAAATGTCACCTTTATGACATAACCTCCCTGCATCTGCTTCTGGACTCCGTACTCAGTGGTCTGTCCCTGTGCCCGTCACATTGCTTAAGGCGTTATGGTTTTATATAGATTTTAAAAAAAGGCATTATGGTTTTATTGCATGCCTTGCTTTGTGGTAGGACATGTTCTGACTGCATTCTGCACAGGCCAAGCACTGTCATTCTCCAAACTGTTTCTAGTCTTGTGCATCTATTCTTCCAGATGCACTTGGAAACAAGCCTCTTTCATTTGAAAAGTGTTTGGGTTTTGACTAGAGCACGTTAAAGTTTTAGATTCATTTGGGGAGATAATTTTTGCCTATTATGCCTCTTACTGTGTCCAGAAGTTTTAGTGAAATGAGTGTGTTCTTTCTTTTAATTTTAATTTTGTGATTTAAATGTCATTAATTAACAGGGTATCATTAGTTTCAGAGGTAGAGGTCAGTGATTCATCAGTTGCATAGAACACCCAGTGCTCATTCCATCACGTGCCCTCCCCCATGCCCAGTTACCCCGTCCCCCTACCACCTCCCCTCCAACAACCTTCAGTTTGTTTCCTATGATCAAGAGTCTCTGTGGTTTGTCTCCCTCTCTGATTTTATCTTATTTTATTTTTCCCTCCCTTCCCCTATGATCCTCTGTTTCTTATATTCCACATATGAGTGAGATCATATAATTGTCTTTCTCTGATCCACTTATTTTGCTCAGCATAATACCCTCCAGTTCCATCCACGTTGATATAAATGGCAAGATTTCATCCTTTCTGATGGCTGAGGAATACTCCATCATGAATATATAGACCACGTCTTAACTTTGTGCAGTGGCAGTATCGTAGCCAATGAGGTTTATCCGAGGCACGATTAGTGCTAATTGAAAACTAGACCATGTCTTCTTTATCCACTCATCTGTTGAAAGACATCTGGGGTCTTTCCATAGTTTGGCTATTGTGGACATTGCTGCTGTGAACGTTGGGGTGCAGGTGCCCCTTCAGATCACTGTGTCTGTATCCTTTGGGTCAATACCTACTAGTGTAATGTGCTGGGTCATAGGGTAGCTCTATTTTTACCTTTTTCAGGAGCTTCCATACTGTTTCCAGAGTGACTATGCCAGCTTGCAGATAGACCCATGAAAAAATGCTCTACATCAGGCAAATACAGATCCAAACCAAGTGAGATCCCACCTCACACCAGTGAGAAGGGCTAAAATTAACATGTCAAGAAACCACAGATGTTGATGAGGATGCGGAGAAAGGGGGAACCCTCTTACTCTGTGGGTGGGAATGTGTGTTATTGTAAGTTTGGGGTATAGTAGATTCACAGAAAGATGATGAGACGTGTTTAGTATTTCTGCACAAAGTAGAGTGATTCTGGTACTGATGCCAGTAAATCCTTTCAGGGAAGCGTAGGGCTGTAATTGCCTGGAAGTGCAAATTGACTCCAGATGGGGAAACCACGGGGGCACCGTGAAGTTCTGTAGCTGAGAGTTTATCTCTGTGCCGTTAATAAAATTAGTGGCCCTTTAAGAAAACCAGATTTTCAGGGGCTCCAGTGGTTAGAAAGACCCCAGTCAGGCCCCCAAATTGTCACTCGTGGCCGATCATTTTTACTGTCCTTGTTTTTCAGAACATCTTCAGAAACTCATTTCTCCTGATGTGCGTAGCCGAGTCTGAACCTCTTTAGGGCTTTAATTTTCTGGAATGAAAATGTTCGTGTCCATACATACTCATATCTTCTTTTTCTGCCATCCTCTCCCGCCCGCCCCCCCGCCAATCCCATCCTATCCCATTGGGTTTCTCGTAGTTTCTGCTTCCCCCCATCCTCTTATCGTACCTTCCATGTCTTTCTGATCACTCTGTGATGAGCAAATAAGAGGAGCCCTTTTAGGGCTGACTGTATTCTTAGTGCTAAGACTGTGCGCATCTCCCTTTAATGGATGGACCTTCTTCCCGACCTGTTTTTGTCCATCTTCTTTTACCAACGTGGAGCACGGGGTGGGCTCATGACGAAGACACATGCAGACTGTAAAACTGTTCTGTTTGGGGTTGTATTGCCTTGGAAAGGCCGTCAAAGTCCTCGGTAGGTTGTGGTCCTCGTTCACCCAACCAAAGAAAATAGTCGTGTGCTGGTTGCTTTGAACAGAGACAGATGAGATAGTCTTCTTGTCTGTGAAAAGCTTTGATCTGTTGATACAGTTTGTTTTCTTTTACAAAAAAAGAAAAAAGTGACAAGCCAGGTCAGATTCTGTCTGTGGACAATTAACAGTCCCTTTAGCGACCAGGAACATGACTAATGCAGGCTGTTCTTCCTTTTTTAGGAAATGGAATTTCATCTAGGTTTCCTCTCTGTCATGTCAGACATTTGTCACTTTTTTTTTTTCCTTTCAGATCCTCTTCCCGAGCTTTCTGGGGAGCTGTCGTGTGGTGGGTTTCTCCGGGCATATCACTTTCTATGGGTTGCATCCGTGCTGTGCATGTGTGCGTGGGCTCACGTGCAGAGAAGCGCTAATCCAAAGTTGGAAACTAGTGATTTCTTTCCCCAGCAGCCAATTGGTATTTATACCAATTCATAATTTAGGGTAATATTTTGTGTGCCATAGATTTCAAACCAGCAGGAAAACATAGCCTTTTTGTATTTTTAAAGTTTAGACGAAACACCTGCGTGGTTATTGGAGGAAGGAGCCGTGTGCCCATTCTTTTCCCCATGCGGGTCGGCCCTGCTGCCGCGCGTGGGACCCACGGTGTCCACCAGCAGGAGTGGACCAGGGGGACTGCGGGGAGCGGCTCAGTTTTGCTGGCCATGGGCCGAGCCCTGGCCCCCCAGGCCACCCTTCCCACCTCCTCTTCCTGTGGCCGCCACCCCAGGCCGAACGTCTCCCTGGAGGACTCTCTTCCTATTGCTTTTCTGTTTCTGAGCGGAGGGAGTGTCCTGGGTCCTTGGAGCCTCCCCGCCACCCAGGATGGCCCAGCGGCCCGGTTTCCCCCTCGTCGTGGAACTGATCGAGGCCTTCCCGCAGCCTCTGGGGTGAGGTCCTGAAGAGCCCTCCCCTGCCCCTGCTTCCTCGACTTCCCTTCCTTCCCGGAGTGGCTCCTCTCCCGCACCCGGGCACTTAGCAGGGTGTGTGCCAGCTGGAAGCTCTCAGGAGGCAGTGCGAGGCCAGGCCACGGGGAGGCAGGACTTGGGGTTCCCTTGGAGGAGACGGACAGTGATGGAAACGGCACAGCAAGCCTGGGGCCGTGGTACTGTCGACTTGGCAAAGCTTGTGCATATTTAAAGTTCTTACAACCAACTGTGATCCAGGACAGGGTAAGGCGATAACTAAAAACAATGGTTTTGACCCTTTGTACTATGGTGGTATGTCAGGGACAGAAAAAGAAATGAGTAGAATCAGTGATGTCCATCAGGTAGGAGGAATTCAAATGAAATAAAGACAACAAGGTTGAATCACATTTATAGAGCGAGTAAATTTTAAAAATTTCTTCCCTTTGCTCTGGACTACTTTGGCATTACAAATAGAATAGACCGGCTCTGATGTCCTTATTATATTTTATTTTATTTTATTTTATTTTTTAAAATTAATTAATTATTTAATTATTTAATTATTTATTTATTTAATTATGATAGAGAGAGAGAGAGAGAGAGAGAGGGGGGCAGGCAGAGACACAGGCAGAGGGAGAAGCAGGCTCCATGCACCGGGAGCCCGATGTGGGATTCGATCCCGGGTCTCCAGGATCGCGCCCTGGGCCAAAGGCAGGCGCCAAACTGCTGTGCCACCCAGGGATCCCCATATTTTATTTTATTTTATTTTGTTTTGTTTTATTTTATTTATTTTTTATATTTTATTTTATTTTATTTTATATTTTATTTTATTTTATTTTTTTAAATTATTTATTTATTTGTTTGTTTATTATTTATTTATTTATTTATTTATGAGAGAGATTGAGAGAGAGAGAGAGAGAGAGAGAGAGAGGCAGGCAGAGACACAGGCAGAGGGAGAAGCAGGCTCCATGCACCGGGAGCCCGATGTGGGATTCAATCCCGGGTCTCCAGGATCGCGCCCTGGGCCAAAGGCAGGCGCCAAACCGCTGCGCCACCCAGGGATCCCTATATTTTATTTTATTTTGTTTTATTTTATTTTATTTTATTTATTTTTTATATTTTATTTTATTTTATTTTATTTTATTTATTTTATTTTATTTTATTTTATTTATTTTATTTTATTTTATTTATTTTATTTTATTTTATTTTATTTTATTTTATTTTATTTTATTTTATTTTATTTTTATTTTTATTTTTATTTTTTTTTTGATGTCCATACTTTAAAATGTCAGGAGGCATCTCGCTGTGGTCCCGAGTGTTTGTTTTTGGAAAGAGAATTTGTGCTACTTGAGTGTCAACCATGTGAAATGAACCTAACAAACAACACTATTTTGGACCCCAGCCCTTCTTTTATTGTGTGTTGTTGTTGTTGTTGTTGTTGTTGTTTTTAAGAGTCAGGACAAGAAAGTGTGATGATACCTCAACTTACATATTTTTTAGGGGCAGATGACTGTCTATGCAAAGTTTGGGAAAAATGTTTATCTTCCTAAAGATGCCGAGTTTTACTTTATTTATAATGGATCTCATCAGAGACACGTCGTGATCGCAAAACGCACTGAGGATAATGTTCTCCAGTCCAGCATTCCAGGTGAGGTGTAGTCTTTACTCTGCAACTGGGAAGTCTGTCTAGAAGCATCCTTCCTCCAGGGACGTAGGCTGGGAGGAGGACCAGGAGGAGGAAGTAAACAGTGCTCCGAGTGGGATGGGTGTGAGGGAGGTGGGGCGGGGGAATGCGGAGGGGCAAGGGTCAGGACCCATGAGCACACTCACCCTGGGTCAGCTTGCTTCTGAGGCTCTCCCAGCTGCATCAGCCTGGCCTCAGACCAGGCAGGCCTATCCTGTTGGTGGCACTCAGCTTTCAAAGTTGGCTGTGCTTTGGGTGTAGTCCAATGGAGGAGTCGCTCCTAGCCTCACTTCCTGTTGTCCCAGGGCCCATGGCCAGGGACGGTTCATGCAGCACAGAGATGTTGGCGGTGGCTTTCCTTCTCCCTCCCTCCCTCCTTCGCCTGCAGTCTGGCAGCCCCACTGTTCACCGCAATCCTGTTAGCTCTTTTTGGTGCCTGGGGTTCCTTCCTTGGCACTCTATGTATCCAGACTCTTCCTTACTAGATCTCAGGCACCAGAACGTTCTCTTCCCACCACCAAAATGTTCACATTCCAACACTTGTCATTCTCCTACGTGTTGTCTTGTTACCGTGGTGACGGGTGACAAATTAATATTTCATGTTAATGTTTGTTAAGAGCTAATAGTTCTCAGATATAGTTGTTTCATATATTCATTGGGGTGTGGATTATGTATCTGAGACAGGAGGCTGGGGCCCAAAGATGGAGTGAAGGTGTTACTACCTGCAGGAGGGGGGGGTGGGTTTAGTTCAGGTTTGCTGATGGGTTAGATTTCCTTAACTCGGGGCCTATTGGGCCCTCTAAATTGCATCATTTAGGGAACCTTCAATTTTTTTATGGATAGGATTGGCTTCATTTTTAGAGGAAATATATTTTTTATTTTTAAAAGATTTTATTTATTTATTCATGAGAGACACAGGGAGAGAGAGAGAGAGGCAGAGACACAGGCAGAGGGAGAGGCAGGCTTCATTCAGGGAGCCTGACGTGGGACTTGATCCTGGGACCCCAGGGTCATGCCCTGGGCTGAAGGCGGCGCTAAACCACCGGGCCACCAGGGCTGCCCAAAGAAAGAGATTTCTAAGTGCTTCTGCAGTCTCTCTGTTACGTGTGAAGGGAAGGTAGACAGTAGACATGCAAACAACACAGACATAGAATTGCAGAGATGTGCAAAGACTTTGCAGCCCTACCTGGGCTTGTTCATCAGATCAAACTGTTGTTCCATTTCTGAGACTGTGGGCATTGTTTTTAAAAGATTATTTACTTATTTATTCATGAGAGACTCAGAGAGGCAGACACACAGGCAGAGGGACATGCAGGCTCCCTGTGGGGAGCCTGATGCAGGACTCAATCCCAGGACCCCGGGGTCACGCCCTGAGCTAAAGGCAGATGCTCGACCACTGAGCCACCAGGTGCCCCGTGAGCATTTTTTCTCACATGCTGCTATAATTGATGTAACGCTTTCTACACAAGTTATCATGTTTTAAAGATTCAGTTGGGCATGATTATTGTTACCCTTTCCTTCTTACTACACAAGGAGCCAAGCAATAAATCTTAACCAGCCACTCTGAGGCCCATCCCTACCGGGAGCCCCCTCTTGCTGTGCCTGTAGATGTATGTGTATTTTTATTGATAGTCCAGGCATACATCCAATGCATGGTCATACATGAATGTACAAAATATAATATCCATAAAGAGTAATGAGTATAATGTGCAGTGAAAACCAAGGCATTCCATGTAATTGGGGGGAAAAGTGCATTTTTCTGAATTATCTGTGTTCAAATTTAGATTAAGGTTGAACAACTTTAAACAACTGTTGGAGAGGAACAATAGGGAACCAGACCCAGGCAGTTAACATTTAGAGACTGTGGGCGATTTTAAGCTCTTTTCTCTTTGGTGCCATAATTGGCATCTTTATAAGAAAAAAAAAGTCAAACCTCATTAATGGCATAGAGTTACCTTGGCTCTGTCTCTATTGCCTCTGCCTTTTGGCTTTGGGATTTACATTTATGCCTTCGCTGCCTTTGGCTGCTCCCTTCTTGGTTTTCTTTTACGAAGCCTCTTATGGAGGAGGAATGAGAGTAATAACTAAAGTGCCAATCTTAATATCGAAAATTCTGTCATTTTCTTTACTCGGATGCAAGGGTGAGCCTCCTTCCCACTCCTTGTGTGTTAAAGAAGGTCTGCTTGACGGTTCGTGCCCTACTTGAAGGGAGAGCTCTTAACCTTTGTTTTTAAACAAACTCCGTATGGGCAGCTGGCAGTCCCTGTTTCTGGACCGTAAATGTCGCCTGTTTCAGCTTTCCCAGGGGAGCCTTTCAGAAGCGTGGAGAGCGGATTTCTGTAGTCTGTCCTGGAAGTGCCCAGACTGGGGATGGAGGCCTACATTTTGTGCCTGCACCCCTGGGTCATACTTGAAGAACACGGCAGCAGTTCTCAGTAAGCTGGGATGCTCTTCTCCCTACAAAGGCTCCCATTGGCCGTTTGCTTGGGGGGCCAGTGGTGACTGAGATCACCCTCCTTCCGTCTGGCTGTGATTATGATCATCACAGCAGTGTGGCGATACGAAGCCCTGGGTGTCCTGCCAAAGGCAGCATAATGTGCCTGGGTAGTAGCTTCCCGCCTGGCCACGTGAAGGAGGAGTGTAGGAAGGAAGCACAGGGAGCGGGATTAGATGACCACACACAACAGAACTATTAAGAGGACCGCCAAGGCACAGAAGCTATCGTTAGGAGTGGCAGGAGTCGGGTAATGAGCAACGTCTGTAAGTATTTCTGTGGAGTGCTCTTCACCCACCCTCGCTCACATTCGAAGGAATTCTTTGGAGCTACTTTGTACAACTATCATCTAAATAAACACATAAAAATGTAGGACTTGGGAGGAAGTGGCAGAGGAGGAAAGGGCAAAGGCCTTTAAGGAGACGACCTTGAATTGAGGGGTTGGGGTAATTGGGGTAAAGCTACAAGGTGAAGGTGTGCCAAATAACAATGTTCGACAATGATAGGAGAATAGACATGGAGGTGCTCAGAGCTCATAAAAGTTGTTTTTAAAATCAGGAGTCACTGAAAGAAGATGGAATGAGCTTTAATCCGGCCGCACGAGGGTGGCACTGTGGGAAGATACCTGGCTACATTTCTATTCTCTTCTGCCTTTTGTGCTCCTGGAGTGGGGGGTCTGCATAGGCAGTGCAGGGAGGCTGGTGACTCCTGACTTGGACACCGGGTGAGCATCTCCTTTATTTAGCCTCTAGGTGTGAACTGTTTACTGTCTTGTCGTCCAGGGCATGGGCTTCAGGAGACGGTGACGGTGTCTGTGTGCCTCTGCTCAGAAGGTTACTCCCCAGTGACCATGGGCTCCGGCTCAGTGACCTACGTGGACAACATGGCTTGCAGGCTGGCTCGTTTGCTGGTCACCCAGGCTGATCGCCTCACATCCAGTAGTCATCAGACCTTTCTGACTCCATTTGCCCTGACGGTGGGAGCATTGCCTGCTTTGGATGAGGAGCTGGTGCTGGCTCTGACCCATCTGGAGTTGCCTCTTGAGTGGAGTGTCTTGGGAAATTCTTCACTTGAAGGTGGGTCTTCACCAGAAAATTCAGATGTCTTTCCTTGATGTGATGTTAAGAATGTGCCTTACAATTTGTTGTCTGTCTCCCTGGGTTGGTTTTCCTGAGCATTTTTGACCTGAGCCTTATTCTGACATGACTGGATTCCCTGAGATCCTGAGTCACTTGACTCTGGGCTGGTTGATGCTCCTCAGCTCTATTCCAGGTGGTGGAGAGCTTTGCCTCAAGGAGGGAAGGACTGTTTCTTGGTGGCAAGCTCTTGAGCCAGCTGCTTTGGAGTGTGGCTCTACTTCCATTGGCACCTGTTCATGCTGTGCCATTTTGCCAAGAAGGTAGAGTCATCAAGCAAGGAAAGACAGGCAGCTGGCTCTGTGGGAACGCTCAGAACAAGTGTGGCATGCAGGAAATGAAACTGATGCATCGACATCTTTAAAATGCCAGAGTCACCGAGAGCCTTCAAACATTTGCGCTAACTTTGGGATAAACCTCGGGATGGCTCCTGTTGATTAAAAGATTGAATAGGCTCTTAACATCAATCGTGGCATCTGTGTGTGAACAAAGATGGGTGTTGTATGTAAGTCCATGCCAGGCAGGAGGCTGACCCACTCAATAGATACTTCTTACGGTGATAACTCATCACGGAATTTTATTAGAAATAGATATTGGTTTATATTTTACTGAACACACATATACTTGTGCTGTCTTTCTGCATTATTGTATGATTTTAGTGGTTGGATGATGCTGTTTTTGAGGTTTCTACTTCCTTTTTCTTTTCTTTTTCTTTTTTTTTTTTTTAAGATTTTATTCATTTATTCATGAGAGACCCAGACAGAGAGGCAGATACACAGGCAGAGGGAGAAGCAGGCTCCTTGCAGGGAGCCCGATGCGGAACTCGATCCCCAGTCCCCCAGGGTCACGCCCTGAGCCGAAGGCAGATACTCAACCACTGAGCCACCCAGGAGGCCCCAGGAGTTTCTACTTTCTGACAAATTCTGATTACAGACTGGTTTAAATTTGTGGATAAGATTAAATGCGCTAATTGAGGTAAAGGGTTGTGATTTTTGTAAACAGGATCATATGCCATAAACCACAGACAGAGAGGATCTCCACTTGTTTCTTTCAAACAGGGTTAAAGTAAAACTTTCTTGGGAAATTAAAGATGTTTCTTATTCCTTAAGATCTTGGATGAGACCAGTCACAATCCTCGTTCAGTGCTGCGCCGCGTCTGCCTCCTGTGTGCTGATTCAGCTGTATGGTAGCTGATTGGGATGTGTAAGGGGTGGTATCTGTTCTCCTCACCATTACCTCCAAGGATCTACCAAATGGCTTGGAACATATCAAGTGTTCCAGAAGTATTTGTGGTATGAATGGAAGTTGTATTTGGGACCTTCAGAAGGAAGTTATGCATCCTAGACATCACTATTGTTATTCATATGTATATAAAAATGTACCTGTTTTCTGGCTAAGGAATTTATTCATGTTCATATGAATATATAACTTGTTGTATATACGTAAACAGCTTCATATATACAGGAGCATGTTCCTGTATATTTAAACATACCTGTATATGTACATACATATCTATAGATCTGTGTGTGTGTGTGTGTGTGTATGTGTATATATATATATATTTATATTTATTTATATATATGTGTGCTTTCTGACTAGGGAAATTCTTTTTCTTAAGCTTCCTGGCCTTTTAAAACACTCTAATATTAGAGGGTGTTTCACTTTCTGGAAGGGCAGATTCATTTTAACAAAGGCATAAAGTTTTCATACTTTTTCACCAGTCACTGCACTAAAGGCCACAAGTAAAGTGCCTCCAAGACCCCAGGAGCAGCACTTGCAGGTCAGAAGGAGGCTCCTTCCCTAGCCCAGCACCTCCCTCAGCATAGGGGCTTGGAGTCTGCAATGGGTTAATTTGTGCCCCTGCAGGCGACAGATTGTTGAAGATTATGTGACTTAATAATTGCACTTGGAGGGCACCTGGAGGGCTCAGGGCGTGATCCCGGGGTCCTAGGATCGAGTCCCACATCGGGCTCCCTGTGAGGAGCCTGCTTCTCCCTCTGCCTGTGTCTCTTGTCTTTCTTTCTCTGTCTCTCATGAGTAAGTAAATAAAGCCTTTAAAAAGAAAATAATTGCACCTGGATAACTTAAACTAAAAGCCTTCAAAATGAGATTCATGTTACACACATGCTATATTTTCATCCTAAAATTTAGAAATGAATTACTATTTCTTAACCTTTAATCTATAGATTGGCAATAGTACATACATATAGCTTTTTGTGTGTTGCAGTCTTGACTGACTGGTCTTCTGTGATGAACCTTGGTCAGCCTAGCCCAAATTCCTATTTGCTTCTCAAACTTTAGTGATTGCCCAAGTTGCTATCTTTATTCTTAGTGGCCGCCAGTAGTTGAGGGTGTGCCAAATCCCATCAGGGGAGGATCTCCGTCATCACCCAGATGCAGGCTGATAAAGTCTACCCTCAGTCATGAGCTGGAACAGTGTGCAGTCAAGTTCCTTGCAGGAAAAGAATGGGAGATGGGCATTTTTTGTTTGTTTGTTTGTTGTTTGCTTCCACTGTGCTGAACCCTGGGGAGATAGTTACAGTAAGGGTTTCCGTGTACACCCATTAACACCCATTAACAACTACTTCTTCATCCTTTACAGTCCTGCGGGACTCATGAATACATTGGCCGTCAGAGCTAAAGCAGTCTGAGGAGCTGTCCCTCAGGTGGCAGCTGTAAAATCTGGGATGCCAGATGTGTGTACAGGCTGCTTCCAGAGAGATGCCAGTGACCTGGATTTATTGTTGGAATGAACCAAAGCAAGAAGGTGGGGGGAATTGCCCACGGGCTCTCTTGAGGTCCAGGGAGGATCATCAGTCAGCTGCATGCCAATTAGTAAATGGACCCTGCAGTTTATGAAGTATGCAGTCAAATCCCTTCCAGGGAAAGACTGGGAGATGTGTCTTTCTGCCGGTTCCTCTATGCCGAGCCCTCGGGATAGTTATGGTGAGTGTTCGTCTGCCTGTTAAGAACTACTTCTTTGCTGTAGTCCCATAGGATTCTTGGATGCAAGCCCCGCTGGCTTCCTCAGCTAGATGGAGGCTTTCAAAGTTGGGGTGCTAGATTTGATCCATTCCTCAGGGAGAAGCTGGGAACAGGGGTTACCACCTGATTGGATGGTGCTGTGCCAGGGGTAGAGTTGATGGTGAGTGTGTCTCAGCTTTTTGTACCCATGCTGATATGGGTGTTTCCACATTCACATAGTTGCTGGATTTCTCTCAAAGAGAATTGTTGGGTGTGTAGCTCTACATTGGGCAATTCTACGGGAGCAGGAGAGTTCAGGAGTCTCCAATGTCAACAACCTGGTCCCTTTTCAAATTAGTAGAATTTTCATCTGAGTAGTTTAGGATCTTGTAAATGCTCAATGCATCCTCTCCTAATGAACCTATTTTATTAGTGCTGCTTATCTGCAAGGTAGAGAAATAATACCAGACTAAGAAACAGTAGCCTGTGGCCCACTGGAGTTCATTGTGTGTTAAGTAATAGTGGCATCGTAAGTGGAAAACAGTTTCTTTCCTAGTAATTATTTCTAATACTTTTTCAGAAACTATTGAAAGCTTCACCATTTGCACTTAAAAATTATTTGGGTTTATTTATTTATGCTTTTTGTGGGGTAAATGGATGTGCTGAATGGGGATTAATTGATGTCTGTAATGACTCTTGGAAAAGTCTGTTGGAAGCCTTACCTGGGAAGCGGGACTGTGTTTCCTTGCTTTTTGCATTTTGTAATACTTTACTTTTTGCCGTTTCAATCACTGAGCTTTATCAGGAAGGCCTGAGATCCTGGAGAAGGGCCAGGCTGAACAAAGTGTTGTGTGTCATAAAGAAAAGCAGAGATTTTTCTTGGCCCTGTTTCTTACCCATCATTACTCACAACGCAACTTTATTTTATGTTCTAGGGAAGGAAATATCTCCGGTTTTATTTAATTTTGTGACATAAATAAAATTGGATTTCTGTTTCATAAAATTAAACCCAGTTCTTTGAAATAGCTTTCATGATAAAAAGCTTTTTGCAGAATGTCACGACCCCATATTTACAGTAAAACTTAGAGTAGAGTACTATATCCAATAAAATGTCACAATTTATCTTTTTTTGAGTACTTTAGTACTCAACTAAGTTTTTTTTTTTTAATAAAGAGTGTTATTAGAGATTGACATGATTTTGACAAATTAACTGGTATAAGGTATTTTGTTTCATTTCCTTGGTGCTCAGATAACTTGTGGGTTAGTCTTCCCTTCCTGCTCAAACAGGTTACTTTATTTGTGCTCCCAGAAGGTTGACATGGCTGGCAAGCACCAGGCTTGCCATGTCCAGCGGGAAGGCTACCATTTGAGTAAAGATCCCAAAGGGACAACAAATATCATCTCAGAAGATTGATGGCATTGCCTTTAGGAACATAATAGCTCCTATCCCCACCTGTGGATTAAGCAGAGGTGGTCCTGGTTAAGCTTTTTCATAGAAGAAAAATAAGCTAACTTATATTTAAAAAAACTCATAAAGACTATCTCTCTCGGCATATATTTACATTTACAAACCAGTATTTAGCAACAATTTATGTATTTAAGACCTTTTTTCCCTACGTAATTTTTTTTTAAAGATTTTATTCATTTTCTCATGAGAGACACAGAGAGAGGCAGAGACACAGCAGAGGGAGAAGCAGGCTCCCCACGGGGAGCCCAATGCAGGACTTGATCCCAGCACCCAGGGTCACGACCTGAGCCGAAGGGAGACGTTCAACTGCTGAGCCCCCAGGCGTCCCTGCTTGAGTAAATTATCACAAAAAGTGAATTTGGACTTTTCTATAGTTCTCTATGCAAAATAGTTCACATGTTCAGAAGTCTCCTTAGAAGCACAAAATTTTAATTATGGAAAAGATGGAATTCTTATAACAGTTATGAAAACACAACACAGTCTTTTTTGGCCAGCTTTATTGAGACAG